ATAAGTTACATCTTATCCAATGATTAGTGTGAAAATTAATGCATGTTTAAAACAATGTATATTAGTTGATGAAACCATTTGAGTGTTTGCAGGTCTGTACATATCTTTATTCTGCCCTTGCACTTGACTGATAACCTGGCTGGCTGTGTCAGTCAGGATGGGCTCTGTTATGCTGAGGTAACAAACAAACCCAAAATCTCAGTGGCTCAAAACAATAAGGCTTTTTTTTTTAATAACAGCTTTACTGAGATATAATTTACATGTCATAAGTTCACATTTTAAACTGTGTAATTCAGGTTTTTAATATATTCACCAGGTTATGCAATTATCACCACTAACTAATTCCAGAACATTTAATCACCGTGTAAAGAAACTCCCTACCTGTTAGTATTCACTTCTCATTTCCCCCTTCTCATAGTCCCTGAAAACCATGAATCCAGTTTTTGCCTGTATAGATTTGCTGATTCTGGACATTTCATATAAATGGAATCACACTATAGGTGGCCTTTCAGTGACTGCCTTCTCCTCCTCCTCCTTCTTCTTCTTGAATTTTTATAAGAGTTTATTTGAACCAAACTGATAACATATGCTGGGGAGCAAGATCTCAAATGCTCCCATGATGGCTTCTTTCACCGAGCATGTTTTCAAGGTTCATCCATATTGTAACATGTATCAGCATTTCATTCCTTTTTATGGCTTAATAAATCCATTGTATCAATATACCATATTTGGTTTATCCATTCATCAGTTGATGGAAATTTAGGTTGTTAACACTATTTGGTATTATGAATGATGCTGCTTTGAACATTTGTATACTTGTTTTTATGTGGACATACCTTTTCAATTCATATATATATATATATATATATATATGCGTGGAATAGCTGGGTCACATGGTAATTCTTAACTTTTTGAGGAACTACCAGACTGTTTTCCACAGTGGCTGCACCATTTTATTATATAATCCAGCCAGCAACAGATGAGGATTTTTATTTCCAACACTTTTTATCATGTTTTTTGTTGTTGCTGTTGATTTTTTAGCCATCCTAGAGGTTGTAAGGTGGTAAAGATTTATTTTTCATCTTTAACTCTGTCAACCAATTGATCAATCATCAGTCAACACAGGAACCATCCCTTAAGTCCTGAGCTATGTTCTCTGAAGGATACAAAAAAGGTCAATATTCCTGACTTTGAGGATTTATGCTCTCTTTACAAAACACAGAGGAAAATTAACACAAAGCAGTCCACGGTCAGTACTAAAATTCTTACTGGGGCCTCTAGAGCCCTGCAAACTCTGGCCTATGTCTGTCTCTCCACTCGCTGACCACTGCTTCCTGGCTACACTGTCCTCGTTTTTTGTTTTGTTTTGTTTTGTTTTAATGCTATCAAGCTCCTTTCTGCCTCAGAGCCTTTCTCTTTGATGTTCTTTCTCCCAGAGAGCTTCTCTCCCAGCTTCTAACCATGTTACCTCATCCCTCTCTTGGTTCAATGTCACTTTCACAGGGACACCTTCCCCACCACCCAAACCAAGGTTCATTACCTTGTGCTTCCCTTTATCGTGGTAGGCATGATGGGGAGCAGAGTTGCAAGGGGTTAATACCTAGGTTCTAGAGCCCCACTGCCTGGGTTCCAGTTCTGCCTTTGATACTGACTGTTGCTCTTGGGCAAGGTACTTTACTTCTCTGGACATTACTACAATATAGCCTAGCATATAAACTCATTGAGAAGGTTAAATGAAGTAAAACATTTATGTCACTTAGAACTTCTTTGACATTTTGTAAATACTAGCCCTTGCTATCACAATTATAAATTAAACAATTATTTACATAGATTAAAAAGAAGTTTGGGGCTGGCCGAGAAGCTCATTGTTTAAGAGTTGGCTTGAGAGCGCAAGCTCTGAACAGCAGGACCGCCGGCTCGGTTCCCACATGGGCCAGTGACACTGCACCCTCTACAGCTAAGATGGTGAAAAACAGCTCAACCTGGAGATGGGCTGCCGTGAGTCACCAGCGATGGCATAGGCTCCAGTGGGGCTGCAGTGGGCTGCCGTAAGCTACCGTGAGCGGCCATCCAATGGCCGTTGACCAATCTGCCTCAGCCGGAAAGAGCGCAATGATCACAATACCAACATGGGCCAGTGAAGCGACATCCTCCACCACTAGACTGAAGAACAAAAGGACAGCAACTTGTCTGTTCCCCTTCCCTGATTACTCAGTGCTGTTCCCTCCCCCAATACCCTAATAAAATCTTAAAAAAAAAAGTATGCCTTGTCAATGCTATATCCTCAGCATCTAACACATTACTCATCACAGAGTAGGAATTTAAGAAATATTTGTGAGTGAAGGCTAAGTGTATTCTACAGGATATCGGAGGAAGGGGAAGCATTATAGGAAGAGATGGCCATCTCTAATCCATTGATAGTGACCACTTGGAGTCCTGGATGGAGAAAATGATTTTGAAGCTGCATCTGGGTTCTGAGAGATTGAACTGTTATTAATCATGTCTGCTATGGGCACAAGAAAAGAAGAAAAAAAAACCCTACAGGACAAGCGCTATGATGTTGACAGCCCAGCTATAGAGAGGCTCTCTGTCATGTTGGAAACAGTCCAGAATTGTGAAGTGACAATTTGCCTCCTTTCTCTCCGCTGCCTGCCCCCAGCCTCCACCTGTCCTCTAGGCACTCAGGACTCCCTGTGGCATTGCACAGGCTGTCTGGAGCACTTTGTCTCTTCCTTTGGACTAGTATCTTCACACTATTTCCATCACCATTACAAGTCAGCAGTCTCACTCCTGCCATGGTAGGGCAACCAAAATGAACCAATCTGCTAATCACCCTAAAATGACTGGATTTAACCCCTGATTGTGTTTTCTATCCCAGGGATCTCTGCATTTAAATCTAGCCTGGGGGTTGAGAGAGAGAGAGAGAGAGAGAGAGAGAGAGAGAGAGAGAGAGAAGGGGCGAGTGATGAATCAAATGCCCCAAGGCCCAGCGCTGAGTGAAGCTGATGCAGACCCCTTGACTACCACACTGGAAGGGGGTCCAGTGCTGCCATAGCCACCAATTTTTCAAATCTGGATGTTTACATGAAATCTCTCAAGTACAAAGTTTGCAATTGAATAAAATTTTAAGAAAGTAATGTGTCGGAAAGAGAAAATGGTTTGGGGGCTGTATTTGGCCTATTGCTGTCTCTGCAGGGGCCCTCACCAACACTTCCAGTCCCCCTGCAATGGCTGTCCTTCAGAACCCAGCCTCAGGTGACTTCCCCTTCATGACACCACCCCAATCCTTCATTGGAGATCTTCCTTCTTCTAGAACACTCTGGGATTCCATCTTGAAATCTATTTGTATTCTTGTCAGGTACCATGCATTATCCCATTTCAGCAGCACTCAGGAAAGCTCTGGACGTTTCATTTAACAGACTTTATTTTTCTAGAGCAGTTTAGGCTCACGAAACTTTTTATTTTTAATTTTATTTATATTGTGGTTGTTTCTTAAGAGTACATTCTTCAGGAGCCTATTTGGGGGGCCTGTTCTGGTGGAGGTGGAGGGCGAAGGTGTGGGCATCAGACCCAGGCTGCAGAAGCCACTTTACTCCATGGCTCTCATTTTCCCGCTGAAAATGCAGGAGGTGGGACCCTGGACTCGGCTCTGAGTTTTTGCTTCCCAGACCCCGGCCTTCCCGACTCTCCCCTTCCCGCCTTAGTAATGCAGCGGTATCTATTCCGGGTTTTCCCGCTCCCCGCCCCTCCCTCCCCAGGCTGTGATCCGCTTCCGCGTTTTGCTGAGCACTTCGTCGCTAGGCGTGGGGGCGGTAACGCGCACGCGCGCTGTAAGTTGGCCCGGGCCGAACGCGCGGCCCGCGGATTGCGGGTGAGGGAGGGTCGGCCTGGAGGGTGGTGGGCCCAGTGGGGGTCGCGGCCTCGGGTGGAGCGGGCGGGGAACTCGTCGAGGGCCTCGGGGTTCTCGGGCATGCGAGGATCGGGGGCTGGAACCTGGGACGGGGCGGCCTGGCGTGTTGGGCCGGGGGCCGCGGGCGCCGAACCGGGCCAGGCCCAGCGGGTGCGAGGCCGCGCTTCGTCACGAACTCAGAGTGACCTTGGCCAAATCACTTAATCCCCTTGAGCCGGTGCCTTCGTCTGTGAAATGCGAACGATAAACCCCACATATTGGATGGGGCCGTTTGGAGGTTCAGTGGCGAGACCCCCAGGAGAGGCCGGAGTCCCAGGCGGTTTGCAGGGACCGCCCACCCCGGGTGAGGGAGAGGCCCTCCTGGGATGGCGTTTTGTTACCGGCTTCCGGGAAGAGCCCTACTGTGTATATTTTAAAACTCCACAGAGTATTATGAAGTCGTTGCAAAACTTTTAACAGAAACATGAGACTTAAGGGGCTTCCTTGAGGCCCACGTTGCCCCTCTGGAACTGTGATGCCTGTGAAGCTTTAGGGAATGGTGAGAAGCAATAGCGACCCTTAGCTTGGGAAGAATTAATACTTGTAGTTTCTGTTGTTTGCCACATAGGAAATGGAGGCTCTGGCCGAGCTAGTTTAGTATCTATCTGCCCATGGGAGGCTTTGGGACCAGGGGAGTCACTCAGCTTTCCAGGGAACGAATTTTTTAGAGATTGAGTATGGAGGAATGCATGGTGCCATAGCCTTTTGGGGGGTGGTGTGGGATCTCAGGAGCCCTCCCTATGGTGGATGAGGGTCAACGGTGTAATGAATACTCAATTATGAATGATAGAGGGGTCACAAAAGTAAGAAGCATAAGTGATGCTGCGGGTTGGAAGAAATTGAGACTATTTGAATTGACTGAAACTTTCCACTTCAGGCAACTAGCATACAGACACCGGGTCTCTGACTTGCTACCTTTCTACTGACATGGCCCACCGGGGTGCGGAGAGGGACTTCCAGACTTCAGCACGGCGCATGGGCACCTCACTGCTCTTCCAGCTTTCAGTGCACGAGCGGGAGCTGGACCTGGTTTTTCTGGATCATAGCTATGCCAAGCCATGGAGTGCCCACCCAGATGCCAGTAGTGCCCGGCCCACCCGCACGCTCTTTGTTACTCCCCGGAGGCAGCACGAAAGTACCATGTGAGTTTGGGCTCCTCTCCTAAGGGCTGCCATTGCCCTAACTGGGCAGTGATCAGATGGTGGGGATTCGAGAGGATTTTACTGTGGGAGACTGTGTGAGGGGCTTGGATGTTTAATTCAGGCGTCTCTGGTAAGCAGCGGGAGGATACCAAGCCTATATGTGGACATCAACATTCAAGACATCTAACGATTTAGGAAAGCAAGATGTTCAAAGGAAAGCAAACAACCTGTTCCACTTAGGTAATAGGACTTGTGTGGAAAAAGGAAATTGAAGAGGATTATTTAACTGGTGAAGAAAAAGACTGAAGAGTTGACTCTTAAAAACTGCCACCCAGGATTAGACTCATTTCCTTAGTCCAGTGTTCTGGCTTGCTCCAACACTGGCAACAGTAACCTTTTTCTGGTAATGTGGTTTCTTTTCCTGGCTTCACCCGGCACAGTTTAGGAGCATATTCCCAAGACTTTGCTTTCTGCCTTAGCTTGTTACAGAACTGTCACCCGTGGGTGACCTTACCTTCTTAGGTCTGATTGTATTTTCAGCCGGCCTACATTATAGGGTAAGGAATTTTTTTTTAATTTAGTATGTAAAAAGTGATATAATTACATTTGGCCTAAATAAACTTGTTTAGCAATTCTTTTGAGCTTCAGGGTGTTCTGATTACTTATATTTCAAAATTTGTCGATATAGTCTATTTCGATGATCAAATCACACCCTTATTTTATTAACTGTTTTGGGGAAGAGGTTTTTTTGTTTGTTGTAATCTGACCTAATGTTTAATGTTTCCTCTAGCACAGGTTTTAGGTTTGTTGGGGAATAGCGAGCTTGTATTTCGCTTCTTTAGGTCCCCTACTGAGCCGTAATGAGCTTGGGATGCTATGAGGTGTATGTTTGAAACAGGTGCAGAACAGTGGTTTTTTATTTCATTTCCCAATGAGGGTAGCATTTAGTTGGCTCTTTGGTTGTACAGGGCACGGGATCTGTGACTTTAGGGAATAATCAGCATAATCCTGATGCCTCTGGCCTAGGGCATAACTGGTGAGCTCCTTTCAATAGAATCAGAAATCTTTTTCTCTTAGTTATGTAATAGCTTCTTGTTAACATGAGACTCCTGTGTTTAAAGTGAGATTTTTGTGGACTTGGTTATTTCAGTACTTAGAAAATTATTTATAAACCATCTCCATATATAGGCCTTGAAAGTGGGAGTTTGGCATGTTCTAGGAACTCTTTTTAGGCTGTTGTGTCTGGAATATGGTTGCAGCTGGGGTGTAAGTGGGAGCTGGGGGGGAAATTGGCAAGGCTACCTCATGTAGGAATTTGATTCGAAGAGTGGTAAGAAGTCATTGAAGGATTTTAAGAGGGAGAGTGGATTTGTATTTATTTTAAAGATCACTTTTAACTTTTGTTTAATAGATTATAGTGCAGGAGTGAAATAGAGAAGACCTGCTAGGAGGCTATTGCAGGAGTAAGGGCCAGAAATCATGAGAGCTTAGATAGGGGAGGCAATAGCACAGATGGAGAAAAATGGGTGGCCTTGAGATACATTTCATAGGTAGCGTCAACAGGACCTACTGTGGTGAATTGGAAAGAGGGGCCAGGGTTAATGGACAAGGTGAAATTAGGACGACTCTTAGATTTCTGGCTTGAGCAGCTAGATGGTGTCATGACTTGGGGAAGACTCAGGGAGGACAGGTTGGAATGGTGAAATCGAGAGTTCTCTTTTAGGCACGTAGGTCCACGGGCTTCACCCACTGTCTGGTCTAGAGAAGATAATCAGGTTTTTCACCCAACACCCAATCTAGCTGCTCATGATTTCATTTCATTTCATAATGATGTGATTATTCCAGCCCTTGAGAATGGATGCAATAAGGTCACCAAGGTCCAAAAGTTAAAGGTTTTGGTAGACCAGTTTGATTGGCAAATATTTTGGGTGACAAAGTTGGTGCAGTGAAAGACCCTTATGGCACTAGGATTTCATGGACAACATTTTAAAATATGAAAGCTCCTTCAGCTGTCCATTTCTCTTTGTTCTGTTGTAGGCTCCTTTCACAGTGAGTTAAATAGCTAAGGTGTCTCCATTCCAAGTGCTCTTAGACAATCATAGGCTTTTACAGCATGTAATTAACTACCTGTTGACTTGCTAGTGGAAGGAGAAGTTTGTATGAATAATTTAAAGCTCTAGACCAGCACTGTCCAACAGAACTCTGCAATGATAGAAATACTGTGTGTCTGTAACCTCTAGCCACATATGTCTGTTGAGCGCTTGAAATGCGGCTAGCGTGACTAAGGAACTGAATTTTTAATTCTATTTAATTTTTATTTATTTAAATAGTTGTGTGTGGCTTATAGCTATTGTATTGGAAAGTACATCTAGGCAATTAACTATTTGCTTATGGAATGTATTTATCTTTTTAAAATAATAGCTGTTTGTCATTTTTTGCATTAACTCATTTTAAAACAACTTTGTGTTCCCCCTGCACATAAAAGTGTGTCTCGACAAGTGTGGGAAACATGACTTTGGATCATAATTTTCTTGTGGATATAATGTGCTTATCATGCTTTAAAGCTGATTATATCAAAGAGATGTTTTTGGCAACCAGATGGTCATTAAACACCTGTGTTGTTTAAAGTCCGTGTGGCCTGGTCCTATTTTCTGGCTTGTTTACAGTGAATCAGATGTCCCAATAGACGTGGAGACAGTCACTTCAACCCCTGTGCCACTCTACGACAATCAGAAGGCACGCAGCGTGATGAACGAGTGTGAACGGCATGTCATCTTCGCCAGGACGGATGCTGACGCCCCTCCCCCACCAGAGGACTGGGAGGAGCATGTCAACAGGTAAGCTGTTCCTCAGTAGACATGCTGTGTCATCGTCGGCACTGAGACACACTGATTGGGCGCTTAGTTCATTATTTCATTTGCAGCCACACAGTCTGAGTGTTCTAACCCTGCACGGTAACTGTCAGCTCAGTGAGCTGCTGGAGAGGAGGGCTTGCATCCCAGCCATCTGTGCATCCCTGACACCTAGGACCCTATCTGGCACATAGTAGGCATAGTAAACATTTACTAGATGAATAAGTGAATTAAATTGGATCGGCATGACTAACTCTGTAGATTATATACTACAAGATATGATATGGGAGTTACCCAGATTACCAGAAAACCTTCAAAGCCATTAAATAAATGTACAATTGTAAGATAACTGCTTTATCTGGTCTACAACTAGAGTAATGAAAATGTTTTGAAGTCACCTGCAAAGCTAACATGTTTTATTTGAGTGGCTTTTAAAAACAGATTTGCAGTCTGCTTTCGAGGGAACACTTCAGCCCCTTTTTTTGTGAGTCTGCTGACAGGGTTGTTCTGTGCTTCCTGCTAACCCGGGGCTCCACACTCCTTTCCAAGTCTTGTCATTGTTCATTTGGCCAACATCTGTTTATCTTTTCCTTAACTGCATGACAACTTTGTGAAGTCAGAATTGACTTACCATCCCATTCACCTCTTTAATGTGTACGTTGTAGTATATTCATCACCACAAAGAGAAACTCTGTATCCATTAATAGTCACTTCCAAGTCCCTCCCAACCCCTCCAACCACTGGCAGCCACCACTCTACTTTCTGCCTCTTGATTTGCCTGTTTTGAACATTTCACATGAATACCATCTTGCAGCATGTGTCCTGTGTCTGTCTTTTCTCACTTAGCGGAATGTTTTCAGGGTTCATGCATGTAGCAGTGTGAGTCAGCACATCGTTCCTTTTTATTGTGGGTGCTATTCTGTTGTGTGGATGGACCACATTTATTTATCCAATCATCTCTTGGTGGATGTTTGGGTTGCTAGCACTTTCTGGCTATTGTGAATATGCTGCTGTGAACATTCATGTGCTTGTTTTTGTGTGGACTCAAATTTTCAGTTCTGTCGCATATATACCTAGGGCTGGGATTGCTGGGTCAGACAGTAACTCCATGTTTCATTTCTGAGGGAATTCCAGACTGATTTCCAAAGGGACCACACCATTTTACGTTCCCACCAGCACTGTAAGAGAGTTCCAGTTTTCCCCATCTTTGCCAACACTTATTATTATCTGTCTTTTTCTTCATTATGACCATTCTAGTGGGTGTGACGTGACCTACCATTGTGGTTCTAATTTGCATTTCCCTTATGGCTCTCTGTATTTATCTGCTCTGTGTAAGGGATGTTAAACTCCTTATACAGGAGTTGGTAGATGGCACACTTGCTGTAATGTTGGAGCGCTCTTGTTTTATAATAATGGCAGAGAAAGAAGACATTTGGTAGGGAAGTTGTAGGCAGTTGTCATGATTCATGAATGGGGGGGGGGGAAGCCGGGAATGAGATGGAGCAGGTGTGCTCATGCCATCAAGGCCACAGCTGTTGGAGGAGGAACAGCCCTGCACCTTGGTTGAAGAGCTTGTAAAGAAGTTGTTTGGGATCTTGAATTGGAATTAATGTTGTGCTCTAAGACAGGGACATGCTGTCCAGAGCTTCCGATAAGGAGGGAAACTTCAGCTACCAGAATATTGCCAGACTTGGTGTCAGCAGAACGGTAAGAAAACAGTGGCAATGGCAGGAACAAAAAGCTACCATTTGTCGAGTGCTTCAGGTGCCAGGCATTGTGCCAAGTGCTTCATGTGCATGATCTCTAAACCCTCACAGGAACTTCGAGCTAGACCCCTTCTTCATCTCTTTTACAAGATGAAGAAACTGAGCTTGGGAAGGTTAAGAAACCTCAGGTAGGAAGTGATGGAGCAGGAATGTGTCTGCTTCCAGAGCCCAGTGTTCTCAACTATCCGCTCCTCAAGGGCAGTAAAAAGAGACCAGTTAGTGGTGGCTAAACAGGGGCCCCCACGGTTAGGTATCCCTTTGTGGTGTTCTCAGTGTACAGTCTCAGAAACTGCCCGGGAGAACTGCATTAAGGTTTTTATCAGGTGACCCACGGTTCGGGGATTCTGTACTTACCAAAATCATCAGAGACTCATACATATGAATACCAGCTTCTTAATTTACAAGGAGAGAGATTGCTGCAAGGCAGAAGGAACACTGGGTGGCCTGGCCAGGGCACTGACTCAGTGGGGGAGGCTGGGAAGCCATCCTAGTCCAGAAGTGGATGGCCCCCTCCTTCTACAGGGTAGCCGGATACACCCATCTTTCCTCAGAGCAAGAGGGGCCTGCAGAGTGGGCCAGGACACACCTTCACCTGCCCAGTCCTGTAGAGAAGCACGCCACATTCTTACCTTTGGCCTGTCTTTCTCCATGGGGACCTCCATCCTTCTGTTATGACATTGCCACAGATTGAAGTGATAAATTAGTGCTTACTTTGTCTCAGATTATTTGTTTTTTAGTATTTGATGAGGTTTTGGAGGCATCCTTGTCTCATTAGCAACAGGCTTACTAATCATCTCTTCAGGTAGGTCACTTTTGCATACAGCTGGTTTCATTGGTGATAACTTACTGGCTTCACTTTCAGAGGTCACCATTTTATGACCTTGTCCTAGAACTCTGGATCCATAGCCTGTTTGGGGCTTGCAGTCAGTTCCCTCTATTCTGATTATAACCACCTTGTTGCCGTTCTTTCCCTGGACTTGATTGTTAAATTATGGCGTCTTTTCTTCAGATCATGAGCAATTACAGTTTCCCACATCAAGGACTCATGAGCTATGGGACTCGAGATTTGTTTTTTCTCAGAGAACTGATCTATCAATGGAATCAGAAACTTAATTTTCTTTGTTAGTGCCCTATGTCTGCCTCTTAATTATTGGGTTGTCGGAAAAGTCATGACGTATTTTGTCTATGTTTTTCAAAGGTCATTTATTTATATAAAGAACAAAGATCAATCAATGATATATTGCCCGTTTTGTTCGATAACTTTTTGCCATCTTTCAGTGAGCTTCATAATTCCTCGTTCATAGAAGGACCTGTCTTTATTTGCAAAAAACTGAACAAGATGCTGGTTTACAGCCTCATCTGAATTGAACGTTATACCACGCAAGGAGTTTTGAAGAGAGCGAAACAAGTGGAAGTCTGACGGTGCAAGGTCAGGCGAGTATGGTGAGTGTGGCAGCACATCCCATCCAAGCTCCAATAATTTTTCATGGGTGATCAGACTTGTGTGTGGTTTTGCGTTGTTGCGATGGAACACAACTCCTTTACAATTAACAAGCTCTGGATGTTTCTGGATGATGGATTCGTTCAAACTATCCAATTGCCAACAGTACACATTCGAATTGATTGTTTGGTTCCTTAGTAGGAGCTCGAAAAACACGACACCTTTAAAATCCCACCACAACTGAGAGCATGACCTTCCTCTGATGAATGTCTGCTTTCGATGTCATTTGAGGCGAATCATCACGTCGGGACCAGGACCGTTTGCACACCACATTGTTGTAAACAATCCACTTCTCATCACCAGTTATCAGTTGCTTCAAAAAAGGATCGTTTTCCTCATGTTTAATGAGCATATTGCAAATGTTTATACGCACCGTCAAATGAACTTCTTTGAGTTCATGCGGAACCCAAATACCGAGCTTGCTTACGTATCCTAGCTTCTTCAGGTGGTCGTGAACGCTTGAATGGTGGATGTTCAATGTTTCTGTAATCTCTCGTGTTGTGTAACGTGGGTTTGGCTCGATCAATGCCTTTATTTTGTTGTCATCAACCTCAGTGGGCCTCCCTGACGGAGGAGCGTCGTTGAGATCAAAATCACCGGCACGGAATTTCGTGAACCATCGTTGGCACTGACCTTCTTGTAGAGCATTGTCACCATAAACTTTATGCAACTTTTCACAAGCTTGACGCGCGGTTCTTCCCTTTACGGAAGTAAAACAGTAAAATATGGCAAAAATGAACAGTTTGATCTTCCATATTCAACTTGTAAAATCTCCAAAACTCAACCAAATTGCTCAATTTTTTTCAGAATGAAGCTAGAACTGTCAGCTGTCAAATGACATAGCAATAACATAGATGCGAATGACTCAGTACTTCCAAAAATGAACTAGTGCCATCTGTTGCAAACATGTGTCATGACTTTTCCAACAACCCAGTATTTCAGTAGAAACTACCTTCAGATAACTCTCTCTATATAGAAAATAAAGATTAAGCCCGCCAGCCCCCCCAAAGTGACTCTGACCTTTGCTGGTAATGCCTGATTGTTTGTGAAAGTTTAAATATCCCTTATTCCCTCATGCCCGGTTGAACTGTCTACATCAGGGGTTAGCAAGCTGTGACCTGTGCACCAAATCGGGCCCGTTGCTCATTTTTGTACAGCCCATGAGCTAAAAATGGGTTTCACATTTTTAAGTGGTTGGAAAAACTCAAAGAAAGACACATGAAATTCAAATTTCAGTGTCTATTAGGCAGTTTCATCGGCCCACAGTCATGCCCACTCATTTATTTAGGTGTTGTCCATGGCTGTTTTTGTACTTCAACCACAGAGTTCAGTAGCTGTGACAGAGACCACATGGCGCACAGACGAAGGTAATCTACTATCCCGTCCATTATAGGAAAAGTTTGCTGACTTCGGCTCTAGACCATGTTCCTGTGTCTGCATACCAAGGTCATATGATTTGGAGAACCTTTGAGAATGATTTACATTTTGCTGGAGTACTAATATTGTCCTGAAGAAGTTGGACCAACTTTTTCTTTTTTTTCCAAATGTTTCTCAAACGCCAAGTTTAATTAGATGCACAATTTTTGAAAGACATTCAACAAAATACTCCTGACGTGATACATCTCAGCATTGCTCAAATGGATTTTAGGACATTTCCAACATTTCAGTAAAAGAGTCTAGTGTCCTAAAGCAGGTTGTCTTAATCTTTGAATTCAGCCAAAAGAAACCCATTCTCCTTTTCTGAATTTGCTCTAATTCTGTCTCTCAATATTGTATGTAAATATCTATGTATCACTCTTAGGTGGGATGTTTGAAATTTTGAGTCCAACATCTTTGAGTTGTTTACTCCTCCTCTCTGTTTTCTTCCACCCCCCACCCCCTCCCTTCGTCCCTCCCCTCTCTTTCCTCTTCATTTTTTCCTTTCTTCTTCCCGGTGTTTAAGCAAAGAATCTTTATAATCTGAAAAAGTAAGCGTGACCTATACTGTCACTCTGATGTTCTTTGTCTCTCCCTGTTAGACTTCTGGTTTTAAAAAAAACCTTTAGACATTTTAATATTGAATTAGTTTCCCTTGCAAAATTAGTCTTTATCAGAGAAAGAATAATTACCTTTGAAAATATCAGGCTTTTCTAGAACCAATATGACTTTCTGGCTGCTTTGGATAAGATGAGCTAGAGGTCAAAACCTCAGTTAGGTTCAGTCAGAACATGGAGAACATAAGATTATCTGCTCTCATCTAAGAAATGAAGAATAGGCATTTTGCACTCATGAAAATTGAGTAGGTTTAGGTGTGGGGGGCGGTGTGCATTGACTCACCACAGTTCCCATCAGCTATTTGACTGTTTAGACTTGTATTTAAATTCTGTCTCCTGTTTTTAAAATTTTTCTCAATTATATCTTTTGCATGCTCTTTATCTTAATCTTGGGTCAGATTTTTCTTCTTGCCCACTTACTTTCCCAGCCTCCCACGAAGCTGACAAAATATAGAGAACGTTTTAATTCTTGGAATCACTTTGTTGCAGATCCAGGAACAACTCCAGAACTTTCTCTGGGATTTTAGACTTTCAACATTGTGGTTTTTCAATTTAATTTCAGCTGTCATTGGTGTATGGGAATCATTTCTAAATAGCTTTCTAACCCCCCTCTCATTTTGTTCACATCATTTCCCTTGCTCCCATCATTTTGAGTTTCAGAATAAATATAGAGTAAGAAAAACAAATGGAGAAAACATCCTGTTACATAATAAAGAACGGGAAATGCTGTCGATGCCTCATAAATAGATTATGCTTTGTAAATACATTATACCTCATTTGTTGTCCCTGGCATTAAAGCTTGCAACATGATCAATAGGCTTTGATTATCAATGAGCACTACTCCTGAGGTGAGGCTGCAGTGTAATCCCACTCTTGACCCATGTTATTTTCACAGAACTGGGAACTGGAAAATTTTAGCACAGTAGCCTTTGAGCTTCCATTTCCGCCTCAGGAAATTTATCCTACGGAGACTTGCACAACCTCCTGAAGGTCGCTGTGCATGCGTGTGTTGGGGCAGGAGGGGTGTCACTGCGGCTGTTCACAAGAGCAGTAAAAGGGACCCAACCCGAAATGCCCACCAGGATAGAGCCGGCCAGTAAACACAGAGGTGTGTTACTATGAAATACATCCACTTATCTCCGAGAGCTTTTTAAACCACCTGCGACCACCTGGCTCCTTGTCACCACCTCCAGACCCCCAGGCTCACTCAAGACTCAGTCTACATAAGAGAGATGCGACTCGTGAGTGTGTTGTGTATTAAAATAATGTGAACCAGCTGCTTCCCACAATCCTGGTCCCAGGGTGTCCTGAATCCTGACACTGAGTTGAAGATTCCACTCCCCACCTTCCAAGTCCAAAATCTCTGAATATTAAACTGCGACAAAACCAGACTGGATCCTGATGAAGTAGCAGGAAGAAGCTAAGAGAACTAGGGGAAAATAAGATAAAGGACAATTCCAAGAAACCTAAGCCTGCTTCTGGTACCCACAAGGGGGTGACAAAAGGGTGGGAGGTTTGGAGTTAAGAAGGGGTGTAGTGTAGCAAGGAAAGGAGAAGAACCCCGTGCCCATGGGCTAGAGCAGCCCTCACAGCTTCTGCTTCCATTGTAAGCATAGCTGAACTGAGGGGACCTTTGAGATAATTTCGTCCATGCCTATTACACAGGAGACGAGAGTGAGGCTGGCTCTCCATTGCAGAGCTGGTCAGAGTCCTGGCTCCAAGTTAGTGTCTCCTGGACCATGGAGCTGTGGTTGGTTGTAAAACTGGAGACATGTAACTGGAGATTGTATTCTACAGAAGGAAAATAATGCTCCAACATCTTTTCCTCCTTTTTAGAGGGTACGTACTCCAAGGACAGTGGGATAGTTGTACAGAGTGACTTACGGAGGGTAATTGTCCCCCCTCACATAGGAACTGGGCCATGCTCTCAAGTGTTTTTAGAGAGATGAGCTGTAGAAAATAGGTGCCTCCTTGGTGGGGTGTGATGGACAGGATGCAGCCGACTGTAAAGTAAGAGGCATTGAGATTGTTTGGCTATCTGGTGTGGCGAAGGGCTCAACTCATTCACCAGAAGTCACATTTCAGCATCCTGCTGCTCAGTCACCATGGGCTTCATATGGTGGGAGAGAAGGGTTTGAGTGTGCTTAGCTTGCTGTTAAGGACTTAGAATGTCATATGCACACATTTCATCCACACTGTGTCAAGTCCCTACTGTGTGTCAGACACTTTCACAGGCCGGCGTGGGATCTAGCACTTCAAGTTCCTGCCATTTTTTGGGGATATTTTTTGATAATTAACCTTTTGTTCCACTTGAGATTTATTTTGCTGTGAAGAGTGATAGCTAGGGGTCCGAGATTCTTTTTCCAGTTGGCTCCTGGCTATCTCAGTCCCAACTAACTTTATCCCCACTGGTTTGAAATGCTGCCTTGGTTTCATTCCATGTTTTTGTTCAGGTCTGGTACCCACTTAAAAAAGTTTTTAAAGGTAATCTAATCACCCATTCATTTTTTTGGCTGGGAGATTTGGTAAACAAATAGTTGATTGGGCATCTTCTTTACCTTTCTCTTACTGTCTTTAGGAAAATTACTGCCCAGAGTTGGGGTAGCAGAGTAGTTAAGATTGACAGCAGTGGGGTGGAGAGGACTTTAACAAACTGCACCTCACTGTGTGGAGTGTGACGGGTGGGGACAGCAGTGGGACAGGTTTCTGCTGACAGGAGTTCCCAACTGGGTTGGAGGAGGACACATGCTGCCATCCACAAGCAGTGTGGGAGTGTCCTCTGCTGGGCTAACACAGTGTTAACTTAATGGAACAGACATTCAAAAGTAAATTTGTTAATTGTGTGATATACAGAAAAAAAGTACTCATGGAAAAGGGAGAGAGGTTAGCGTGGGGTGGAATATTAGGGAGTGGGAGAATAGCCACTTGGTTTGTTTTATTTCTGTTCTACTTTTGCTCCTGAAGCTAATTTAAATAGGCCTCTTATCTTAGCCCGAGGTTCTAGTACACTAAAATGCTTGCTCATCTTGTCTGCTGTTTTATGTGAAATTCGAGTATGTCTGCAGTGGAGCCATGCTTTTATTTCCTAATGGATTATTTTAGCTGCCAGGTGAATAATTAGCTTGGCTGGCACAAAAGACTTCATTGTGACTGGCTCTGCCTTGTAGAGAGTGTATTAATACGAGTGTATGCTGCGGTGGCACTGTGGCAGCACTGGGACCAGGGTCTGGGCCTGTGCTTTAGCTCAGTGGTCTCAGACTAAGTGACTTCGAGTTGCCGTTTCGAAGCGGCAGCAAAAGACGTGGCATAACCTTTGTGCAGTGTGCATGTGTGGGAGCATCCAGGGTTTAACTTTAACTCCTTGGAGTTTCTCTTGCAGGACGGGCTGGACAATAGCCCAGAACAAGCTATTCAACAAGACCCTCAAAGCGTTGCAGTCTGACCGGCTTGCCCGCTTGGCCAACGAAGGGGTGAGGCTCCAGAAAGCTGCCTGTGGTGGGCTCGCCCCTAGTCCAGTCCTTCCGTGCCTACTGACTTGTCCCCCCCACCCCCAGCTTCTGACAAGGTGGCTCTCATGTTTTATCATATCACTCCAGGCTTGCAATGAGCCGGTGCTGCGCCGTGTTGCTGTGGACAAGTGTGCGAGGAGAGTGCGGCAGGCCCTGGCGAGTGTGAGCTGGGACACCAAGCTGATCCAGTGGCTGCACACCACTCTGGTGGAGGCCCTGAGTCTGCCCATGCTGGCGGCCTACCTGGATGCTTTGCAGACACTGAAAGGGAAGGTAAGGCTGTGTACGATTGGCGTCTGCCCTGTCCTGGGGTAGCCAGCCTCTGCTGGGGCTCAGGAAATGCGGCTGGGTGAGGTCATTGCTGGGTCAGCCTGGAGGGCATGGCTGCATCTGCCAGGTTTGCTATTGAAAATAGGAGACATGGTGTCATTTCATGTTTTCGTCTGGTGTAAACGTCTTCAGCCCCACTGTCTCCAGGATGAGGTGTGGGGCCTGAAAACCAGAATATACTTCTAACCTCTACAGCCCTGAGCTGTGGCTTGAGTCACCTCTGAGGTGAGAAAGAAATTATATTATCATAGAGAAGATGAAGGGTTTTCCAGGGAGGAGTGTTGAGAAGGGGCCAGAAGCAGCCGTGTGCTTAGTGCAGGTGTGGGGGTGGAGAGGTGTCCGCACAGGGAGGGCCGGTCCCGCCTCAGTCGCATCACGGGTGAGCCTTCAGTAGCAACACTTGGACTTTAATAGTTCTCTGTAAAACGTGTCCTTACATTTTTCTGCTTTCTCACTGAGATAGTATCACACAAAGTTAAACTGTTTTTCTTCATGATTCCACTTGGTTGTGATTTTAGTCACTGCCCTGGGCTGTGTTCAGGGTGGTGGACTGGGGTTCTCAAGGCATGTCGCACTGCCATCACTAACAGGCTGTGTCACCTGGGTTAGTGTCTCAGTTCCCACATCTGTAATCTGACACCTAGCTAGGATTTTTGTGAAAATTAAATTAGCTAATCCAGATAGAATGCTTCACACAAGATTTGGCCCATAGTAAGCCTATGGTGACTGTTTACAACGATGTAAGTGGTGCCTTCATGGGTTCTTGAAATTTTTAGTTTGCTCTGATACAAAACAGCCTCAGACAACCTGGATTGATTCTGGTTTTACTTTTTTTTTTTTTTTTTTAAGATTTTTTATTGGGGAATTGGGGGATGGGAACAGCGCTGGGGAATTGGGGGAAGGGGAACAGACAAGTTGCTGTCCTTTTG